GTATCACGATGTAAAATACAGTACCTGTTGGAGCTGGAAATTCAATTAAGTGAGGCCATAACTATGAACATGTTATTAAATCGAGCCGCGCATAGCTGTGTATTTGCTCTTAGCCGTGGCTGAGAGTGGTAACAGGAAGTGTCTCTTCTGCTTCACTGCGGATTGCTCTTTTGAATTTCTCTCCCCTCTTGCTCTTTCCCCCACCCTCCTCCTCTTCGCATTGGTTCCTGGGCAGCTGCTACTGTGAAGACAGTGTAGCTCCCATCTGCTTTCAACATATGGGACCAACTCTGTTGCTTCCAAAGTCCTTGTATTTGCTGCTCAGAGCAGGGTGGGTTATTATGTGGAAAGTGAGGCAGAAAATTGCAGAATGATTTACCCAGTCTTTGTTAGACCTTCGTGTACTAATTATGGGATCATTAGATCACTCTTTCTATCCATCATCCATCTATGCGTCCATCGCCTAATTCCTGACACCGAGAAGCTGTTTCCTTACATATTTAGCACACAGAATAAAGTATGATGAATGTTAAGATCATGAAAAATAGAGAAAGGAAAGAAGACTGACGTCAAGATGAAATTAAAACAGAAAGCTTATTTTTATTGATCTCTTATTTTTAACTAAGTATTTTAATTTATTAATATTAATTAACCAATACTTTTATTTATATCTTTTTACTTAATTAAATTATGTTGAATATGGCACTTTTTAAAATCTCAGGGCTAGGACGAAGGAGACATTACTGGTGCCTCCTCGAGGCAATCGACGAACAACAGGATGATCGTGATCGTGATGTTGAATACATCATATTAATTCAATTAAATTTAATATATATTATTTAAATGTTAACTGCTCACTCACTACATGACAGGTACCCATGATTTTGACCCTAAGCTTCCTGGCATCCAAGCAAAAAAAGGAAATGTAAATATTCAAATTTACTAATGTCTGTAGGAAGACAGTAGTGGCAGGAGGAATATATTCAGCAGTTTCTCTTACCGTTTAGATCTGAACAAAAATTTCCAAGTGGTTCTTATTTAATAAAATTTGGATTCTTCTTCAAACCGTAGCATCTGGAGTAATAGCACAGTGGGTAGGGCATTTGTCTTGCATGCAGCTGACCTGGGTTTGATTCCTCCACCCCTCTTGGAGAGCCCGGCAAGCTACCGAGAGTATCCCGTGCGGGTGGGATACTCTTGGTAGCTCACAATGGAGACGTTACTGATGCCTGCTCGAACAAATTGATGAACAATGGGAGGACAGTTCTACAGTGCTACCATAGTATCAAGAACTCTACAGTCAAAACTTGTTTTAGAGCTAGATTATAACTAAAACTTCAGGTAGGTTCACACATATGAAACAGTTGCTGATTGTAGTAATGAAAACATTGAATGATAACAATGTTCTTGAATTTAATTGTTGAATTAGGATTCATGTTAACCACTACCATTCTCTATCGGAAAAGTGGGTATCCGTCAACCAGGAATTTGTTCAGCTATTGCTAAGTCCATTGGTTGCTTGTCTTAGTAGTAGATGATTGGGTGAATTTGTTGGGGAAATTTGATAATGCAGAGCATCTTATGGGCATCCCGAATCATTTCTCTTTAAATTATAAATTCTTAGTCCTGAGTCCCCTTGATCATCTCTAATTACAGGGGAATGTTATGGGTGGTAGACAGTCTAATAATAACTGACTTTTTAGATGAATCACATTTGGATCTGCCAACAGTTTTATATTCATATAAAAGCAAGTTGTTTGAAATTTATATATTCGTATTACCAAGGAATGCAACACTTTCTCTAGCTTTAAAATAAAGCAAACATTTAAAAAGATACCTTAGTAAAGTGTCTCTCACCATTATTTTTCTTAGTCTTTATGATTTCATTGTGCATGGAAGTGAAAGGGTTGATATTTGAAGTTTCAGACTTATTTCACTGTTTTGTAATGGATTTTTGAGAGTCTGGGGTCAGAGATTCAAATGCCTATAGGGCTCTAGAAGGGCATAGAAACGCATAAATTAGGCTACTTGTGAATAACAGAGAATGATAGCAGCAGTGGTGGATGGAAGACCTTGTATTCATTCAAATGTTGGCTGCAGTGACTTCCCTCACACTAATTGCTACAGAGAAATTCAGACCCAGAAATATAATGCTGTTCAATTTCAGCCAGAAATCTTTTAGATTTCCTGTGAGATTTTATTTTCAAGACACATGATGGCCAAATTAAAAAGTGACTTTGGGACTCTGCTCAATTATTCTGAACCCCAGTGCAGCATCGATGGACAATCAGTATGAGAGAGAAAACAAGAGAAAAACAAAAGAGATTGAGTTAAGGAGACACATGCATATCCATATATTTATCAAATTATTAGAGAAGTACATCATGAGAACTACAATGAATGCAGTTTGCTTCCTAAATAATGAAGATAAAATTAATTTCTTGATGAGGATTAAGTAGCACAGCTGTGTAGTATTATTGTCAAATCCACGTTGAGTGGGAAGAAGCTAGATCTTAAAAATTGTTTTGCAAAACCAGCAAAGATGTTACGTGTCATCTAAACTGTTTTGTTTTTTAAGTGTGACTTGAAATCTCAAGCCTTCCAGGTATAAAATGCTATCTTCCCTTTGTCTTGCAATGGTGTAGAATTTTTCAACTGAGTTTATGTGCATTTTTATCTCATTCATTTACAGATAACATGTAAAGAGAAAACCCAGAGAGAGTATTATGTTTACCTATTAAACTAAATATTCACTTGGCAAAATGAAGTGTCCTGATGTATTATGCACTGAAAGCACAGGCTGCTGTTTCAATTCTGTAAACTGTATGTGAGATTATATTAATGCTTACCCAATGTTGACTGTTTGGGGAATTGGGAAGTACGGCATAGGCTTTCATAATAATGATGATTTCAGTTGTCAAATATCATGCTTACAACCATGTGAATCTGGGGCCGGAGAGACAGTTCAGTGGGTAAGAAACTTGCTTTGAATGCATCTGACTAGGGTTCAATCCCCAGCACCTCATAAGGTCCCCTGAGACTTCCAGGAGAGCTCCCTGAGTGCAGAGCCCAGAATAAATCCTGAGAAAAGTGGGGTGTGGCCCCAAACCCAAAAATGAAACAAAACAAAAATCTGTAAATCTAATCACATTGGTAATGGGCCTTTAAAACATCTGTTTGGGAGTGACCTGCGCTGCTTTTTACACTGGGAGACATGCAGAGGTCTTGGAAAGTCCTGATAATTAATTGCATAATGTTTTATGCTGTCACACACATAAACAAGGCTCTCTGTTATGACTTTCTAAGTGCTCTAGAAGGTCTATACTTTGTGAACGGAGGTACCAGCTGTCTTTCTATAAATCTGGTCACTGTCTAACGACTAGAAAAATTTGTGGAATTTAATATTGATCCTAAGTAGTGCAAATATGAAATGATCTTCACAATAGTAGATTAAACATAGTTGTGAAAATGAGCTCAATTGCAAATAGATGGGTTCACTTCTAGAATGGAAGAAAGTTTGTGTGAGCTTCAAATGCTGTTGCAAGGAGTTCAAAATAAAAATGTTTAAAATTGTTAGGAAATGAAAAATGCAGTCTGTATCGAGAGAAACAAACAGAACTGGCGTTGGAGCCCCAGTACACCATGCCCTCCTGCCCCCCATCGAGCACTGCTAAGAACAGCTGAGGAGCCTGGAGCCTCCTTGTCATGGCATCCCTGGCAACGGAAGGCCTGAGTAGTACCATGTCCTTGGACCCTCACATTGACCCGCCAGCCCTATTGGCAGAGAATCTCTCACAGAGAGATCCAGGTCCCCAGTCCCCTGAACACTTCTTGGGAGGCCCCTGAAATTAAAATGAAATTTAAAATAATAAAACCAAACCGAACAACCCTCAGCAGTATTCTCAGAAAACAGGAGTAAACTACCAGCGACTCAGAAAATAGCAGCACTATCGTAAAGTGGGGGAAATTTCTATTTAAGGCCTCCCAGCCAAAGTAGCGGAAGTCAAAAATGGAAAGTCACTGTAAGAAAATGCTCCGTGCATGTAAGGCAGAGGCTCAGCATGCTTTGAACCATCAGAGGGAACCAGGTATTTCTTGGCAATTCTCCCTCGTCGTCATCTTTCTGTCTCATTTTTTTTCTCTCTCTGCTGACTTGACCCAACGTTAGTCAACTCCCCTAAGACCGTTTCTTTACATAGCTATGACTTAATTATCAGCCAAGACGGGACTCTTGGGGCTGGAGCAAGAACACAGTGGGTAGGGCATTTATCTTGCACTCGGTTGACCCAGGTTTGATTCCTAGCATCCCATATGGTCCCCTGAGTACTGGAGTACTGCCAGAGGTAATTCCTGAGTGCAGAGCCAGGAGGAACCCCTGTGCATCGCGGGTGTAACACAAAAAGCAATAAATAAATAAATAAAAAGGACAGGACTCCTTTCTTTCTTTCTTTCTTTCTTTCTTTCTTTCTTTCTTTCTTATTTTTTTCTTTCTTTCTTTTTAAATTTTATTAAATCACCGTGAGATAGTTGTAAGCTTTCATGTTTGGGTTACAGTCACACAATGATCAAACACCCATCCCTCTACCAGTGTACATTCCCCACCACCAATATCCCCGGTATACCCCCCCCCTTCCCCACCCTCCCCCTGCCTCCATGGCAGACAAAATTCCCCATATTCTCTCTCTACTTCGGGGCATTATGGTTCGCAACACAGACCCTGAGAGGTTACCATGTTTGGTCCTTTATCTACTTTCTGCACACATCTCCCATCCCGACCGATTCCTCCAGCCATCACTTTGTTAGTGATCCCTTCTCTATTCCAGCTGCCTTCTCCCCTTTGCTCACGAGGCAGGCTTCCAGCTATGGAGCAATCTTCCTATCTCGTATATCTACTATCCTGAGGTGGCAGCCTCATGTTATGTTGTTTTATACTCCACAAATGAGTGCAGAACAGGACTCTTTTTCAATGTAAAGGATATACACTAAAAAACGTCTCCAGGATCCTTTTCCGTTTCACATGCACAATGATTAAGTGTTCACATATTTGCGTGGCATGTACCTTCCTTAAATCTTGTTACACATTTGGCACACTACCCTTCTGATATGAACTTTAAAAAAAAGTCTCCAAATACTTCAGGACTAGGAGCAACCTTCTTTAAAGGTTTCAGCTGGTCTCCATGTACTGCATTGCTTGGATCTCTTCATTCAGAAGGGCTGACTGGCCCTTTGGCATCAGCTCATTCTTCTCTAGTATACTAAGTAGGATAAAGTTTCGGTGGTTTAAGCAGAACATAAGGAGCTAGGAGCCGAGCAGACATGTGCGGACATGAAGAGAGGTGACTTAAGACAATGCCTGGGATTCCCACTAGAGATGCTAGATTGCTTTGTAGTGCCTCTTACAACAGCAGCCTGCTAGCTGGGCTTAAGCTAACCTGTGCTCAAGGACATTAGAAGCCAAGAAGCTTAATGTCTGTTTTCCATAGCTCATCTTCCTCTGGTTCACTTCTTGGAACACATAGATTTTTCTTACGGCCTTTTCCCTTATCCCCTTATGTCAGTGTACCTCTCGCAAGAGTGGTCAATTGTGGCTTGGCCTACCTTTAATCTACTGCCCTTCTGATAGGAGAAGTCTGGTTTTCCTTTACGTTGAGATAGGGCTGACATAAATTCAGCCAACTGGCAATTATTTCTGACTATAGCAGTTGATTCCTGCTGAATCTGATAGAGGGGAAGAGAGTTTACCTCTTACCTTTGTAGCTTCTTTCTGCTGGTTCAGTAATTAAATTAGCATAAGACATTTAGAGGAGAAACAGATTCTGTGTATATGTAAAGGCATCATAGAAATAGAATTAATAAGTGATAAAAGCTTGTAACAGCTATACTTCTCAGACAAACAATCCATTTATGAAGGATTGATAAGACAAAAAATACTGAGACTTGGGTATGAACAAGTATAGAGCTAAATAATATTACTGACACAAGCTGGTATGCTTTGAATTTTCCAAGCAATGCGATAGGATGTCTCTCTACTTTCTGGGTCAGGGTGGTAGTTTTTACCTGGGAGATGTGTTTCCCAATTTCAGGAGGACGGGGAGATTCACAGTGTTCTTCTTGTACAGCCATTTCTGAATTGACTTTGATTCAAATTAATGAATATGCCAATGAGGCATATTTGGAGGCAACCTACCCTGAATCTAATTAGTCCTTTAATTTATCTTGGTTCAATGAAACTCAATATAGGGGTTTTTCTGGAATAGTTTGGAAAGGCTAAGTTTGTTCAGCTGATAAGAAAGTATCTTTGGACATCTGGATGGCCATCTTTTCTGGTGAGGGATTTTTGGTTGGGACCACACCCAGTGGTACTCAGGGCTTACTTCTGGTTCTGTGCTCAGGGTTCACTCCTGTTAGTGCTCTCCCTATCCGCTGTACTACCTTTCCAGTACATCCTTTGGTGAAGGATGATTTTGTCTGCTTGAACATAAAGCTAATATCTATATCTATATCTATATCCATATAAAATGCAAGAGATATAGATAAACATTCTTGGAAATTATATTTTAATACTGACTTTTTTTAGTTCTATTGATTATAAAGTTTTTGTTTTTAAGCTTAAGTTGAATTTCTACCTCTTTAAAACAGAAGATTTTTTACTTACTGCTTTTCTTAGACTCTTGATTCTGCTCTGGTTCAATAGATCATCCTTCTATCCACTGTCCCTGACCTTTCTGATTATGGGAAACTAGATATTAACTCCTGGATTTTCCTTGATGGTCAGTAGGATATCAGAACAATTGAACATGGATTCTACAGGTAGTTATGACTCAATATCCTAACAAATGAACCAACTCTCCTTAACTTCCAACATGGTTTGTCGATTGCCTCGAGCAGGCCCCAGTCACGTCTCCTTCGTCCTAGCCCTGAGATTTTTTACAAAGTGCCATATTCAAGGCTCTTTCAGGGTTAGGAGAATGAGACCCTTCATTGTTACTGGTATTTGGCATATTGGGTACGCCACGGGGAGTTTGCCAGACTCTGCCCTGTGGGCAGGTTATATTCGGTAGCCTGCCAGTTTGTCCAAAGTAAGAATGAGATAATAAGAAGTTATGACTCAGTATCCTAACAAATGAACCAACTCTCCTTAACTTCCAATGTGGTGAAACTCAGTATTTAACTAATGTTAAAGATTTAGGTCATCATTGCTCATTGCAGCATTTAGTTTGCTTTTAAGGTATGCATTGAAGATCGACTCTGAAAATATATTGTGGTCCGATTGTTTTTCATAAGATTCTTGACATATAATGATATGAGTAACAGGAAAGATACTTTTCGTACTCTCCCCAGCACTTTTTACTAATCTTTTGCTTGGACAAAAGTAATGTTAAGTAAGTATTACATAGATTGTGAATGATAGGATTGACTGCTACATATAAGACTTTAAGATAATCTAAACAATGTTTTCAGTTTTTAAGAGCCATGAGTACCTTTATTTATGAGAGATTGATTTAGCAATTGCTTTCAGGGAATTCTGACAGATTTTTTTAAAGAGGAGACAGACACACTAAAAGGAAGAAACTACCTTTGAAATTTGCTAAGGCTGTCCTTTGTTTTTAGCTTTTACATAAATGCAATCATGCAAGGGTTCAAAAGACTGCTATCTGTGTATCTCCTACTGCATTCTATGTGTCATCTTACTGTTTTACTCAGTAAAAAATATGAATGAATTATACAGAAGTGCTATCCTTAATAATAAATTTTATATAGCATCAAGTCCTCTGCAAATATGCTTGCAACTTTGGGGTGTTTTTATTTTTCTATCTTGCTTCAACTCTGGGCACAGCGGGTAGGGTGTTTGCCTTGAACACGGTCGACCCGGCCGATCCAAGTTTGATTTCTCTGCCTTCAATTTCTCTGCTACTCTTGGACATCCCAGCAAGCTATGGAGAGTATCTCGTTCACACAGCAAAGCCTGGCAAGCTACCCCTCACGTATTCGATATGCCAAACAAAGTAACAACAAGTCTCACCATGTTATTGGCCCCGGTCGAGCAAATCAGTGAACAATGGGAGGACAGAGACGATGACAGTTCAACTCGAACCATCTGAGAGAACAATGCCTTTCCTGGAAGCAAGCAGACAGACAAGATTGACACACACACACACACACACACACACACACACACTCATAAACATATAATCATTCACTATGGAGTATAAATACATATCTAAACAAAAAAATTTCCTAAAATTCAGTTAACATTTAGTTAACTATAACAGTTGTGGTAGAGTGTAGAAATGTTCTCATGGAAATAATATATCCCTCAATATTAAAAAGAGAAAAAAGAGAAGCTCATAATATTGACATTCAGGTATTTGAGTTTTGAGTTAAAATACACCATAGACCAAGAGATAATTTGATTCTGCCATGATACCTAGGTATAAAAATTTTGTGATTAAATTCCTTTCTGGTGAGATAGTACAACTGAACCCAAATAGTTAATTTTGCACATCTTTGATTAGAATATAATTTAGTCAGCGAAGGAGAAAAAAAAAACCCCACCTGATTCTAAGGTAATTTCTTGGGAGAACTGGACCAGTCAGCAGATGAAATTATAAAAGGAGGAGGAGAGGGGAGGAAGAAGCAGAAGGAAGGCAGGAAGGAAGAAGGCAAGTAAAGAAACAAAAAAGAAATAATGCTTTTATGCATTCATTCACTTTCTCACTTGATATTGATTGGATGCTTACTGTGTGCCACTTACGATAAGCACTCTGATTTTCATGGCGAGTAAATCTTTTACTCTCTTGCATCACGCAGAGATTATGCCCTCTATTGGGCAAGATGGAAAAAATAAATAGATAAGATGGCAATTATTCTACCATATGTTGTGCAGAGAACGAATAAGCAGCTGACAGAGAAGATCAGCATTGCAGCTGTCGGATTGCATCCACCCTGCCTGAATGATACCCCGAAATGCAATTCTTTTCTCCAGCTCTGACCTGATGGGAGAGACAAGGAATCAATGCAATCTGTCCTGAGTCATATATTTATTGAGAGGAGCAAACACCCTGACCATAAAACCACGCAAACGAGAATTGAATAGGGACAAGTGGTCAGTAGTATTCTGTTCTTTGTTAGTGGCTACAGGAAAGCAGATAGCTCTTTCCTCCTTAGGAGCCCAACATAAAAGAGCGTAATTTGGTCAACTCAAGCTGATGGAATAGCAAGAATCGAAATGATTTGTCTGTAAATGACTCAAGATAGTTCGGAAGCAGTTCTGCAACCGCATCTTGCGTGCAGTGTATTGTTTTTTTTAAACCTCACCACAATTATTATATTGTCAGTTCTGTATATTCAGTATAGTTTTGTGACATGTGGCCAGAACAGCTGAGGCAGTCAGACAGGTATTACCCTTTCCTAGCAAAGAAAGATGCTCGCATCTTGGTAAATAAACTGTGTGGAAAGCACTGCAGACAGCATCACGTGTAAATAGCAGCTATTTAAGAGACGCAAGCAAATAAAAACAGATCCCTTCAATCTGGTCTCTTAGGAGTAACAGAACAACAAAAAATGGTGTGTCTGAGTCACCTTTATTGATCCGGGAGTCAAAAAATATTCTAAAATGGAAACTAATGGTTTGCTAAGAAAAACCTACACCAAGAGAATGAGAGGGAAAGAATTATAATCATGGCACTAGCATGGAAAAAGAGTCAATCAGCATTTGTGTGAAAGTGACAAAATATGAGGACGATCAGCTAGAATAGATCCACAGGAAGTTCCAAAACGACCTCTACAGAAACAGCATGGATACACGTGTTCTTTGATAAAAGTTTCTGTGTCCTCATAATTCATGCTCTGTCAGACAGACTTAACTTTACCAGAAACTTGATTTCCCCCCACATCTTTATACTTCTTCCCCTACACTTTGGGGGAAAATACCCCCAAAGAACTTATTTATTCTAGAACCCAGCTTCTGACCCATATCCTCCTAATTTTTTTTGTAGGAGTACTGCTATTTATTCAGCCACTGATTAGCTGATTGAATTGGGCACGAACTCCACTAAATAAATAAATGTGAAGTTGCCTTTATTTTTTTTGCTTTCTTTGGGG